TAATAATAATAATAATAATAATAATAATAATAATAATAATAATAATAATAATAATAATAATAATAATAATAATAATAATAATAATAATAATAATAATAATAATAGTAATAATAATAATAATAATAATAATAATAATAATAATAATAATAATAATAATCTCGTAAATGTCTTTAATTAATTATGCTAAAAATGGACCCACATTTACGTGGTAACACAAAGCGTACGCCAAAAGTTCGTTTGTACTGGTTGGTGAGTAATTTCGGATGCAACACAAATAATTCATAACGACTAAGTTTCAGTAACTGTCCGTCATCAACTGTTTCAATGGAACATTGATTTGTATCATAATCAATCTGATCAACACGTACACGTTTCCATGAATCATTCACGTGCGCTGCGTAAATACCCATTCGTTTAACCTAAAAATCAGATAATTCAGTAGTATCTTTGTTATTAATATAATTATACAGATAATATAGTATATACATCAATCCGATACAATTCATTACTTTCCTTCCGAAAAACAATTAATGGTGTTAATTTTTACAATTCAATTCTGTGGTCTGAATAATTTCCTTAACCTCAGCTAAAAAATTTATTGGTATCATCTTTTTTTTGGCTTACTTGAAGCTATCTCTAGATGAACATTATTTTAGTCTGTACGATTTCTAGTACTATGTTATAGAGTATTGAGAATGATTTTATCAGATTTCAAGTAATTAATTTTTTTCCAAATTCAAAATATCAAGTTTTAAATTTTAAATTAAAAGCAAAATAAGACCTATAGGTGAACAAAATTGGAAATTAAAATTAAAATAATGAAATTTCAAATTTACTCTTAACGCAACATTGCATTCATTTTCATTACTGTAAATTTCATTCATTTGCATCTGCAACGCATCATACAATCTTTCATCGTCCATTAATGTACAGGTAAATTGTCGATGTGATGCATCATAGTGACGAAAGATTCCGGGGATTTTCAGAGCTGCCGATAAACCAGGAGAAGCAGAATAATTAGCAAAAAGTGACTTGAAATGACGTCTTGGTGGTGTTCCAGCCATATTTTAGGATATTTAGAAGATGAACTAACTATTCATCAAAATAATTCTTAAATAAGGTCAAAAGATCTAGCGGGATCGAATCATCTAGAAGATAGCAAAACTTATCCTGAACAATGTATTTTATGGATAGATTTGATATTGTTCATGTTTATTAAAAGTTTTTGCAATAGTGAAACATTTATTATTAATTATCACTAATTACCGAGCATCTAATTATTTTTAATCAATTTGTAATGTTACCACAAATAAGTAGTAATTTGAATTTGAAAATTTTGAAACTTATAAAAAAATTGAAAATTTTATTTCGAAAATTTTACCAACGTTTTTAAGAGAATTTAATAAATGAAAATTTTCCAATTATATGATTATATTTGTTATGCTGCACAAATGATCAAAAATTTAATTTTTTAAATCAAATCCTTTTCTAGTTAAGTTTTATAATTAATATCAATCTTTGTTGGTTTGATAGAGTGATCAGTAAAAAAGATTATTCATCCTCTGCAAAATATTCAATAAATGAAATTTACAGTCATCCTATAATGTGAAATGATAACTCAAAATTCAAAATTTTTCTTCAAAATTTTTTTTTACATTTTTCAAACGTGAAATGATAACTCAAATTCTCAATTTTCATTTATTGCTCAAATTGATGCAAAAAGAATATTCGTTGCAGAACTTCAAACAAAAGAAACATCTGATCATCTTTGGGCATGAAATGATATTTCGAATTTAATTACTCATTAACGAATAACAGGTAGGCAAAGAAGCAAAAGCTGTGAAATATTAACGCATATTTCAACTGAAATTTACGATCATTATATGTAAACTAATGATAGTGTGAAGGACGCTTGAGAAAAAATTCTTTTGTTTTAACGAGGAAAATGAGGGGATTCCCATGCCGGGAATCGAACCCGGGCCGCGTGGGTGAAAGCCACGAATCCTAGCCACTAGACCACATGGGAGATACCATATGAGGTTTGAGTTCAATCCCATATGCTATGACATCTGAAGAGGAATAATTAATTATTTGAGAATTTTAAAAGGTAAATTTCAACATTTTCTCATTTTCTCTCTATTCTCTGCTCATCCCGCTCTTCCAATTCATTGGTTAATCTCAAAAGAATCAACCAAGTAATTTCTTCTATTTAGTATATTCCAATAAAAAAAGATTGTAATTGCTAAAAGTTTTTCAAAATTTAAATTAAACATTTATAATTTTTACCAATAAAAGAGAAAAAACAACAAACAACAAACAACAACAACAACAACAACAACAACAACAACAACAACAACAATAACAACAACAACAACAACAACAACAACAAACAACAACAA